TGGTAATGGGTAAACGGCAAAGATTCTTACTCAGGGTTTGGGGTTTTTTTTGGCAAAGATTTTGCACTGATTCTAGTTTTTTGCAAAACTAGAAGCATCGGTGTTTAAATCAAGCATTCCTTTAAATGCTGAATAAGAGCTCTTATTCTTACAGTAAAGACGTAACTGGTTTCCCTTGCTTTTATGTATTTAGTCTGAAGTTGCTTATTCTTCAGAGTGCACAATAAAGGGTAGGAAGTTTGTATCTATTTCCCAGAACAATTGTTTCGTTTAAATCACATCTAGCTTACCTGGTATTTTAGCTAATATTTGGTTAACTTGCCCAATCATCAATCACAGACATTACCTACTAGAAATGAGACCATCAACACTTGAAAAATGCAGATGACAGAATTTATAGAACACCTGTACCTCTCTTCATTCCAGCATCCCTTCAACGGGCAGGACCAATAAAAACGACATATTCCAAGCAGTTTTCAGAATGGGAGCTCTGGGGGATTTCACCTGGTGACTGAGCCCCATGCAGCACAAAAAAAAATGTAAAGGCCAGGCTTGGGCTTGGTTTTTTTTACCCCCCTCTCTCTAGACAGAGGTAGCAAGTACAAAACGCAGCGTGCTCATAAAAAAAGCAAACCCAGACACCACACAGTTACAACATCTCTCAGCGGTTGCAAAGTCCGCACAATTCCAACCACTAGTATTCCTCTCCCCTTTGGCTAAGGCCAGTCGGACACTGCCCAAGAAACACAACGCACGCACCCAAATACAAGCTACCCGTATAGACCATCTTTTATACTCTACCCTGTGTTTCAAAGAAGCTGTAGTGTGATTGACAAGCTGTTGATTTTCACATGTTCACAAAGTGAAAAATGGGCAAACCTTGAGGTGAGATACCAACTCATCTCATTAAATTCCTTTTTGAGACTGCTCCATGGCCTGCTCCTCACTGCTCCAGCGTGTTTAACTCAATATACATCCTTTCACCCACTTGAAAGATGGGGAAAAACTAAAATATGAATGTTTTCCTTTTTCTCTGTTAAAAGTTACGAAATTAAAATAGCTTTAGTTATGCTGTACGAACTGCCAAGAATATCCAAGACAAATTTCAGCCTTGCTGTTGGTGCAGGTAAATAACCATGTGAAAACTAATGGAACATTAAGTTTTGCCTTTTCCTTCCCAGTCTGTCTTGTCATCTTGTTAATGACTATTTTCCTAATCTTCCTTATATAAAACATGAAGTAGAGAAATTCAACTCTTCATTCAATTCAATTCAACTCAATTGAAGCATTTCAAGGAATATACTGACAGATTTTTCCCCACTCTGGGAAATAAATACATGCCTGGAATTTAACTGCAGCTCCAGAAGCCCCAGGCCTCCCTGAGTACACAGGCTGCAGAGTCCTCTTGTTCAAATTCCCAGTTCCTACTGTGCTTGCTAGAAGTTCCACCTAATACGAGATGTTCCTTCTGCAGCCAATGGACATGGGCTGTGGCTTTTGCTGCAAACATCTGCTTTGCCACAGCCCTGCAAAACAGCGCACGCTCAGCATCCCTGTCGGGCACTGCCCACGATTTCGGTGTAACAGGTCTGCCCACCCTTACAGCGGACCTGTGGAGAACAGTCAAGGAACAACAACCCATTTTGTCTTCCTCCCAACCACACCCCCTGCAGCAGAGGCCATCATTTGGCCTCACATCTCCAATTCCATGAGCAGAGGGAGACACGAGCTAAATTCAAAGGGTTTCTGTAAGTAACCTGCAAGAACAATCTTTTCTCTGTGTCAAAACTACCAATGATGTGAATCCTGCCCAGGTACTGGGAATTTATCCTTTCCAGACTCTCTGCAGTGTATTCAGGAGTCAACACTCTACTGATTGAAGAGATGTTTAACCTTTACAGTACTGCTATGATGTGCAAATTGCAGAATTTCAAGGAAAATGAATTGTTCACTGATACTGTCCAGGGAGCTGCTAAAACTGAGAAATGGTTCAAGGACAGCTACTGCTTAGACTTTTTTTTTTTTTTTGATGTTTAGCTCCTCTGTATTAGGGGAAAAAAAACCGACAAAAAAACACAAACCCAAAACTGAAACAAAGCGGTAAATATAGCTAAGTCTTGATCTTGCCTGGCAAGGCTACACACTGACCCCTGAAGTTCCAATTCTTTTACATGAATTCACTTCCAGTGAATTATGCAGCCACCATCCTCAGTGGTTTGGGTTTGTTTTTCTTTTTCTTTTTAAAGTTTCAGGCTGATACCCAAATGCTTATAGATCCTACCTCATATTTCAGAGAAGAGAGGCTCCAAGTTCCCAGCCCTTCAGTGCCATCTTAGAATCACAGAATCACAGAATGGTTTGGGTTGGAAGGGACCTTAAAGACCATCCAGTTTCAACCCCCCTGCCATGGGCAGAGACACCTTCCACTAGACCAGGTTCTCAAAGCCTCATCCAGCCTGGCCTTGCTTATCTCGTAAGCTGGGACGAAACGAGCCTCAACACACACAAGCAGTGGACCCTGCTTAACACACGGATGGGAGTTGGCAGTGTTTTTAAAAAAGGAATCTTGACATATTGCCATAGAGCTATTTATAGTCACTTCCATCACACAGTGAAAATTTGACCTACTCCTCTTTTTTGGTTTGACACAGGCTTGACATCTATTTTTTTTGGAATCACAAATTATGATGAAAAAACAACATAAAAGCAACATGAAAAGCAAATAACCACTTGCAAAAAAAAAAAAAAAGAGAGAGAAAAGAAAAAGCCACAGCCGTGATAATGCCAGCAGTGAAGGTTAACCTCTAACTACGGCAGTCTGGGGAGCTTGCTCTGGTATTTGTTGAACCAGCACGCGGGGCTGGCAGGCCATACCATCATCTGTAATACTACACTGCTGGGATATGATTAGCTACTTAAGGGCATGTAATTTGCAGTGTGTAACTCCACTGACCAGAAGGAAGAGAGTTCTAAACTTACCCCGAAACACAATGAGAAACAGGTCTTAAACAGCCAGCAAGCAAACCCACATGCTTTCTAACTGCCTTTTTTGCAGCTCAACTCTGAGAAAAGCTGGGAGAAGCTGTCCATCCTAAGGAGCCAGGTCTTCTCTGAGAATATGAGGGAGAAGCAGAATGACACTACTGAACAAAGCCAGAGTTAACACAGGCCCTTATTTAGTGTACCTTTTATAAACATATTTCTTTAGATCTACCACAGAAAACAGACTTTGCAAAAGCGTTGCCCAAAGAATAAAAATCTTTGGCACACTTTCTACCCGGATGGCGCCGCTGGAGAAGTAGCAGAGGAGAAGTAGATTCCACACAAGGACTGTATTTAGATGCTGAGAGTAACCACAGTGTAAATGTGTGCATATGAAGGTAAATCACAGCCTGATAGACTTCGTAATGGGGAGCAAATGTAGCATTATATCTGAAATCTCAGTTATTGATACCTTTATTAACAAACGTAACCAGAGACCTAGACTAATTTGCCTGTGCATTAATTAAAGTAACATTTGATTTACACTGATCCTCTCAAAGGCTACAAAACATCTGGTTAGCTCCCACAGCATCTTCATTTTTCCAAATAAAAGTGCTTACTACCTGAGAAATCACATCTAGTTTCCCTGAATGAGGTTTACATCTTCACCACGTTCATTCTGGGAACATGCCCAACCCTCCAAAATAGTAAACAGTGTAGTTTATCCTTGCCAGAGCTGAGGCAGACTTGAACTTTTATGTCACTAGGGGAAAAAAGTTCCATTCTGAACTATGAAGAGTCTGCTACATGATTCAGTGAAATGAATGGAAATATTACTCATCACTTAAGTTTTAAGCCAGATAGAAAAAGCTGTCTTAAGAACTGACTTTTGTTTAGGAGAACGGGTGCTAGGAGCTAAGGAATATTTGACCTGCAGAGATTGGAAAAGATACCTGTCTCCTTCAGTCATCCCTGAAGTGTCACACAAAGCTCAGATGCAGGAGGTACCTAGGGCCACGTATTTTCCCATTTCTCATCGTTCAGGGGAAAAAAGCCCAACCAAACATACTTTCTTTTCCTTGTTAGAATAAAAAACAACCTAAAAAAAAGAAGCATAAGCCAATAATGGATTTGCCTTTTGCTGAGGTCTGAGGAAACTGGTTCCTGGATCTGAGTGTTACACCATCAGCCTGCCTCTAGTTTCTTTTTTTCTGAAGTAATATCCTAAAGCAATATTTCACGGATTCCATCTTAACTCTACATACAGAACCACAACTTTCTGCCACAGCATATCTCACAGGAACACTGTTAAGAGCAACCTCAGAAAGCTTGCAAGTTTTCACACGTTTCACGCTCACAACGTGACAGGCTGCCAAAGAAACGATGATGTGTGTCACGACAAGCCTCGCGGGTTTATAAGGACTCACTCAGAAGGGTGAGCGATCTGCAGTGGGTAAACGTTACACTGCCAGTTGCACAAAACGCCACGTGACCATCTTTTGCTCAACTGCTGCAGTAATTATGGGACACAGAGCAAACACAACCTGAACTTCAGCATGAGACACCGCTATGCTACGCAGTTACTTTTTAACAGATGGCCACGGAAGGGGAAAAATTTTTATTTCCGTTGTAATTCCCTTGCAATTCTAAATAATCTTTCTGAAAATAAAAATATAAGTAATTTAAACAGTGCACACACACTTGTGTTGTCACAGAGACCACTGCTGGTTCACAAGGTTCATTTTTGAGACCTATTAACCCTTTCTGGAAAGAAAAGGCTTTCAGGAAAGTAAACACAGCTCAAGCAGTTGCACTCCTCTCAGGTCCAGAGGTTAGAAGAAGGGAAGGGTAACCATGGGTTCCTGTTGTACATGCCCAGCCTGGCACTGAACACCAAGAATGGTTTGCCACTGCTCCAGCTGGGTAGACCTGGTCCTCACAGAGGGACCTCTAGCCAGGACTGTCACTGTAAGACCCCTTGCATTTGAAATGAGCGTGAGAAATGTGGCTTTTCCTACCTGGTAAAAACAAATCTTCTCGCATTTCTGCTCTGGCTTCTTCAGAGAAGCATCGTTTTTTTAACCACTCAGCTTCATATTCGCTTGCGTGTTCATCAGGCCACGTAATAGAGATCTTCCAACATAAAACAGATGATAATTTTAGCACAAAAAAAAAAAACCACACCCCGAACAAAAACCAGCACCTAGAACAACCAAAAACCCTTACGAAGTTACAGAAAATGTACTATTTATATCAGTAATATCACAGTTAAGCCTTCCCTGGAGCATAATGGCAAACAAGTAATGAAAATCCAAGATCAACATCCAAATTCTGACACCTTTTATAAATGGTCATTTTCACATGAACCCATGACCTAATTTGCTGTTTGTGTGGGCTGCTGTCACTGTGATGCTGCGCTCAGCAGAAAGAGGAGCATCCCAGAAGCTGGCACGTATCACTGAGGTTCACCACAACTCAGAAGAGAGCAAAAATCACTTCAAGAACACCGACAGCTTGCTAAAAAAGAACAAGAAAGGCAAAAAAGAAATGCTAGAAGAAAAATCCCTCTCCTAATTTTGAAAAGTCTTCCCCCTTTCAAATAAATTTTAGAAGGTGTTGGGTTTTTTCCATTCCTAAGAAAAAACATGGGAAGAAAGCATATGACCTTGCTTGTCATGAACTGGAAGGGGCTCAGAGCCGCACACACCCTCAGCTGAATTCTCAAAGATGTTGAGTAGGTATTGATTCCCACTTCCCAGAATTCTGCACTTTCCACAACGGTAAAACACCAGTATCCATTCAGGATTAGTGCTGTGCTTTCACCAGTTCCAGAGTGTAAGTGGAAGCAGACAACCCCTCTACTTTCATAATGCATTACCTATTCAAAGCATTAATTTGCATGGCATTAATTTTGGTAACAAACAGTCACCTTGGGAGCCCAGAATTCCTCAATACTGACCTTTACGCTGTGGCTGAGACACGCTCCCACATGGGACAGCCTCTGCAAACCCCCCCTGCAGCGAGGCTACCCCAGCTGCTACAGGGTTGGCTGCTGCATTTTTAACACGTTTAAAACATCTTGAAGTGTAAAATGAAGGAAATGAGTTTGCATATCAAAGGAGCCACGTACTGCTTTTAATAAAACCTATAAAGTCTAACTCATATATTAGGTTTTTATATGGCAGGAAAGATTAAAATTCATAGGGAGGGCAGTTCCTGTCCTCTCTTGCCCAAAAGCCTCCTTTTTTCATGAACAAATGTTCATGCAGATAGGTAGAGACACAAATACCAGGCCAACTCTGAACACTGAATTCAACTTTGGTTTGAGTGCTTGCTCTAAATCCATTAGCTTAATTTCCAATGTGCAAAAAATCTGCTATTTTTGTTATGGATTAAGGTCATCATCACTCTGCCATTTGTTTTTCTGATTTTCAAGCCATTTACTTACAGAATAAGGAGGGGAAAAAAAAAAGTATAAGTGTAATGCCTACATTGTCTTTTCAACATCTGGTGATGAAGAAACATACCGCAGAATTTTAAAAAGCACAATTACATTCTAAAAACTGAAGCCTGGGTTTCTGCGACCTCTGCATACCACCTATAAAGCAAAGTTTCATATAAAGGTGGTAAGAACCGAGTTCTCCAAATGGCAATTAACCCTAAAAGCTTTGCAAACACACAGTAGGGTTTGTAAATAAACAAACTGCGACTGCAATACAGCCTGCAACAGCCTGCAATTTACAGGTGAACAAGCACTGCTAGGCAAGTTTCACGAGCGGAAGAATGAGGGTTTGCTTCAAATACCTTTTTTCTATCTGCCAGAGCGACTTCCTTCACCACGATGTTCACGTCCAGGTCCTCGAGGACCAGCTTGCGAGCCCTGGCCGAGCGCAGAAAGCAGTGGGGACACTGGCAGTTGTCCCTCAGCCAGACGCAGGGGTAGCGGCTCTCACTCCCATCCTCCCACTCCACGCGGACGAAATGACCCGCATCCAAAGCTTCCACCTTGTGTATCCCGGGGCTCATGCTGAGCAGCCGGGCGGTGCAGGCCCCCAGAGCAGCACCTGGCTGGCGATGCCGAGCGGTCTCGGTGAGCAGGCAGCAGGCCCGGCCTCCGGGGACTTTGACCCATGGCAGGATGGTAGCCACCGCCCTCCACATCCTGGGCTCTGTAATGAAACCGTCGGCAGGAGAACGCCTGCGTGGAGTTCCTAAAATACCAGAAAAAGCAGTTTATTACTAAAGGAAAAGACCACTTTAAGATGATTCTCCCCTCCCTTCCTGCTACCTAGGCCTTCAGGACATTCATTATCTAGTGCTTACATTTTTGAGGTGCAGAGGGTGTACTCATACCCATCTATTCAAAAATCCCTTCGTTTAGCAAGGTTTCAATCTGATTCATCACCTTGGCCAACTTTTGTTTCTGCAGTCGGTTCAATACATATCACACAAATAGTCTCTTCAAAAAGACGCCTGGAGACGAGTTCCACAAGTCAATACTACCAACCAT